GTCCAAACAGCTGATAAAAACATCACAATAATCCACAAGTAATCCACACCACTCCAGTCCAGCAATGAATGTCTTGAGAAGACAACAGCTGCGTGTTTGTAAGAAACAAATTCATCAAGACGTTCTAACAACAAACCATTGACTTTTAAAGTAAAAGTCCATAATCCATAATAATGCTTCCTCCAGTGAAAAAGTCCATCTCCTGTTGTCCTCTTACATCAAAATCCACCCACATATTTGTTTAGAATTGTTTTGAACTGATTTGGCTTCTAAACGGTGCTTTACAGATTTCTCTCCTGATTCAGACCAGATGACTTTTTCATTGGAGGAAGCATTATTATGGATCATGGACTCATATTTTAGCTGAAAGCAACAGTTTGAAGATAAAAATGTATGTCTTAATGGTGCATTTGTTTCTTACAATGTTTCTTTTGGTTTCTTAAGATGTTAAATGATGGACTGGAGTGGTGTGGATTACTTGTGGATTATTGTGATGTTTTTATCAGCTGTTTGGACTCTCATTCTGACGGCACCCATTCACTGCAGAGGATCCATTGGTGAGCAAGTGATGCAATGCTACATTTCTCCAAATCTGATGAAGAAACAAACTCATCTATATCTTTGATGGCCTGAGGGCAAGGACATTTTCATTTTCGATTGAACTATTCCTTTAGATCAGGGGTGCCCAAACTCGGTCCTGGAGGGCCGGTGTCCTGCAGAGTTTAGCTCCAACTTGCCTCAACACACCTGCCTTCAAGTTTCTAGTATGCCTATAAGAGCTTGATTAGCTGGTTCAGGTGTGTTTAATTGGGGTTGGAGCTAAACTCTTCTGGACACCGGCCCTCCAGGACAGAGTTTGGGCACCCCTGCTTTCGATGATTGTATCTGTAATTTTAAGATTTATGTTTAAACATTAAGAAGCAGCTTTTGAAATGTCTGATGATGAGCAGGTCTGGAGTTGTGAGTTATAGATGTATAAGCCAGACATTCAGCTTTCATGAAACAGTTGAAAATCCAGATGTATGTCAAGTTGACCTGGAGATTACTGAGCTAACTCACTAAGCCAGGTACAAGGAACGAGATCCCGCGGTAAGCACCGTGTGGAAGGCTGCATCGGAAACTATGAGAGAGAGAAAGAGAGAGATTAAGAAAGACAAAGAGAGGGAGGCACAGCGCCTAAAGGCGTAGACCAGTCTTTATGGTTCAGTGAAAGGTAAAACTCATTACTCGTTCTGCCATCTTCAACCAGCTGTCTAACTTGGCTAAAAAAAGGTCTCAAGGCCTTCCGCCTTCATACTGATAACACGCAAATTTGGAACTAGTTAGGTGAAAAAAAGACAGTGATACAAAGCAAAATAGACTAAAATTAGCATGTGAGGAATTGCTTACAGATAGATCTAAACGCCTTGATGCGAACAAATTCAGGTTTGCTGATAAAGGTTTCCAGATGAAGATTTAATTGCTTTTATTGCTTTTATTTCATAGCTCACTACATTTTTTTTTTTTTTAACTAAGGTTTTGTTTTGTATAAACGAGACGTTTCTCCACTGTAAAAATAGCAAGAAAAACAAGAAAATACTGTCCGTTTTTCTACTTCGAAAGTTCACGTTTAATTTAATGTGTTACTTGCTATTTCTTTTTTTTTAAATTTTTTACTAGCAATGTTTGGGTAAAAATTGTCTACGCCATTTCTTTTTTTTTAAATTGTAAAAAAAAATCTCAGGAGAAACACTAAAAAAAAGAGACTTACAATAAAAGAAAGATATAAATAAATGCATTTTTTAAAGTTGTAAATAAAACACTTCAAAATTTCATGTTTAAGTCAATGCTACTTGCTGTTTGCAATAATAATATTAGCAAAAAATAAAAATTTCAGTGTAGATATAAATCAATCAATAAATAATTAAATATTTGCAAAAATGTACATTTGAGTTGCAATCTTATCTGAAACACCGCATTATCAAGTCTTAATTTGTTTTCCATGTAATATTGTCAGTGTCTAGATACAATTGAGATTATTTTGTCATTCTGTGTTGTGTCTCCAATTTTTCCACAATTCTCATTCATTGACTTCAGAGCAGAACGTCCATTAAGTAAAATCCACTCATTTCTCCACTTTCTAATGGGAAGCGTTGAAGTTTCCTCCGAGAACCGCACAGTTTAAATGCACTCATGTGAATACCAAAATTAGCAGTGACTTAAAACTTGGTCTCTTTCCTTCAAGCTCTCACAATAAACAAAAACAACAAATAACCACTAAAAAATGTCATCTGGTGCAGTAAACATGCCACACTTTGTCTAAAACCTGGAATGAATCTTACAGACATTAAGTGTTTCCAGTCTAGAGTGAATCATGGCTCAAACACACTCATTTCCTGTATGTGTTTATCTGGGGGGGGTGTTAGCTGCCCGGGCTTGTTTTTAGCGCAAAACTGGATGGAAAGAGGGAGGATGACTGTAGCTGCAGTATCACGTATTTTTTTTTAAAGAGAATGTTCGATTTGAAAATTCAAATTGAAACCAACACAAAAATGGAAATTCCGTGATCAGTTACATCATGGAGTTTTTAGCGGAATGTTCCAAAAATCATCAAATGTATCACAAAAGTATCTCATTTGATTACAAAGTGACAGTTTTATTTTTGGGGCGAACTGTAATAAAAATGAGTATCACCGCCATGCAGGATAGGCTAGAATGATTTTCAGAAATGTAATTGACATTTTCGTTCTGATTCAGAACTTGATTACATGCTGAACAGTCCCCGTAGGTCAATGGTAGTGAAGATAGACAGTGCCAGTCTTGTGGAGTACCAAGCCCATCTTTTTCAAACCACACTGTAAAACAAGTAAATGCAAAGTATATTTATAGGCGGTGGAAAATAACCCATAAATATATTTGGCATGACAATACGATGCCTATAAATGTGTTTGCTGGAGGTGAACTATACCATAGATGTACCGTGTTTACTCTGGCTTTGTTTGTCTTTTGTTTAGGTGCTGTTTGACTTTGTATAAGACCACATTCCAGGGTAAAGATTTCTGGCAGAAGGAGCTGCATGCTGTTGAAATCTGTCTATGCCACCTTGTCAGAAAGTTCCCGTCTTTAAATAACAATGAGAATGAAGGGAAAGAGCACATCCTTTATCAAATCTATCAGGATGATACTCCGTTCTGTGTGTGTGGATGAGGGCGAGACTGCCGTTTCATTTTTAAAGGAATATTTCACCCAGAATGAAAATTCTGTCATCATCACGTCATTCCAAACCCGCATGACTTTCTTTGCATCATGAAACACAAATGAAGATATTTTGAAGAATCTCTAAACTCCTATTTTCTAGAAAGAAAGAGGTTAATGATAATGAATACATAAATAAAAATAAAATGCATGGTTTTTAGCATAAAACACAAATAAACATATTTTGAAGAATCTCTAAAAGGCCAGTTTATATACAGCAAAAAAAAAAAAAGTATATATATATATATATATATATACAGTGGGTTTCCTGTATTTTTGATCAAATAAATGCAGCCTTGATGAGCAGAAGAGACTTGTTTAAAAAACATTACAAGTCTTACTGATCCCAAACTTTTGTTTATATATATATATATATATATATATATATGTTTGTGCACTATATTCCAAGTCATTAGCATCGTATAATATTTCACCTTTTTTTCTCATTAGAAAGAAAAATACAAAGGGATGACAGGAGGGTGAGTAAATGATGACTGAATTTTCATTCTTGGGTGAACTAGTCCTTTAAAACAAATGCATTGCTGAGTGAATAGACTAAACATCTGGGAAGCCAATATTTGTGGTTCACTGACATTCTCAATGTTTTGAAATTCAACTCCCTATCAAATATGCTGGAATGTAATGTGGAGAAGAGAAAGCGAAATCAAGCAGCTGTACAGTGAATGTTACAGTAGAGTAAACTGGTACGCCGGACGCAGGCTTGTTCTCACTTATTTGTGCTTCAACCAGCATGCACCTGTCCGATCTCACTTCACACGGCTAAACAAGCGTGACTGTTGCACACAAAGTCTGCTGACACAAACACTTCTGCAGATAGATACGGCTGTATCTGACGAACAAACCAAACACATGGAAAAAACAGATACACACACAAGTGAGAAAGAGATGAACAGATTGTAAAGAAAATGTAAACCAAGTAAAACAGTTATCTTGGAAATGTCTCCAACTGTTCTCAGAACTCAAACATTTCTCATCAAAATCTCCCAAGATTAAATGATATGAGCTGCGATCCACATTATTACTGTATCAGGGCCAAATTAGTTTTTTAGTTCACAAATTACGGAATTGCTCAAATACAGTTCATTAGAAGTGGTTTAATAATTCACTGGTGTCATTTTAGTCATATTTGCGCCACATAAGTTTTACAATCTGTTAAACTGGCCTTGACCTTGCTAAATAATAATCAATAATATTTTTTCTCTTTTTCTTCTTGTTTCATTTATTGTGCAAACAAATAATTTTGAGCAATCTGTTTATTGTATATAAAATATGACAATGTAACACAACATCATTGTAAGTTAAAAATGTCATGCCTCTTGAATATAAATAGTAGTAACAAAGAAACATCACTAATAATAATAATAATAATAAATGAATAAATAAATAAAAAGGGCACCGGTCAGTTCAGGTAGTTGCATATTTTTGTGTATTTTTATTATTATTTTTGGAATTTTTAAAATGTCTTTTATTACATCAAAACTAAATATATGGCTTTAATCACGGTTAATCGTATTTTTAAAGTAACTTTAGGTAACGATTCCTAGTTCACGAGTTCGTGAATCTTTTTACTGACTCAAATAAACGAACCGGTTCATAAGAGCCTTTTGTTAGCGAATCGCACATCACGGATCGCGCTGCGTTGCTGTTGCTTGCGTGCAACTTTGTCGCGCGGATTTTCTGTCGAAAGCTTTATGCTTTCTCGATTTTAAATGATCGTTGCGAACTTTTCCTTTGAACACCTAGTTGTTGCTTTCAAGCTTGCGTATGACAACAATTCTGACTGAATGACAACAGGCTCGTCTGACTCATCTATTCGGAGACAAGGTATGTAGGCCTCCTTCAATGAAACATGAATCGAAAGCTCCTGGAAGTCTCCCGAACTCTGAGCTTGACTGTATAAATCACTTTCTACGTTTGTTGAATGATAAACAGAAGCTCAGATGTTCTGCTTTCTCCTTTCACAGAAAAAGAAGGCCTGGATCAACGTGGGGGTGAATAAATGATGCCAAAACTGTCATTTTTCAGCGAATTATCATGTCTTTCAACGCAAACGTGTTGAAAACATTCCTGGTTCTCCTCATCGAGCAATGTAAGCACACATCAGTTGTCAGACAAATCATTCTCTCCTTTTGTGTGTCACTGTCACAGCAGCTAGCTCAGTTGATCTTTAAGACAGTTACTATGAATATAACAGCTACTGCGGCGAAGAGAGGCAAGAAGACCAGAAAATCCGGTTTGCAAAAGTGTGGAGTCCCTCCCAATGCATCTTTCACAGGTATGTGTGTGTGTTTTCTCTTTATTGCAGATAAATTAGAACTCGACTCCTTTCATGTTGTGATGGTTTGTCATTGTCTTGGGTGTGAGAAACCAATCCAACTGTACAGATGCAATGACTCACTCATTCAGAGGCATCATGGGCTGGGAAGCACACAGAAGAGCAAGGTGTGCTGGTTTTTGGCAGATGATCAGCTATTGAGAAATCGCATTTCTGGGTGGTGGTGACAAACACTGTGAGGAAAGACATTATTGTTTATGATTTCCAGTGAACAGTTGCAGAGACTATATTCCGCTATTACTTATGAGAAATTGTAGTTGTCTTCCAAGTTGCATTGCAAAAAGTGATTTTCTTATTCAGTATTTTTGTCTTTGTTTTCCAATACGATTAGATAAAAAGTATATCTACTTGTGAAGCAAAACCAGAAGACATTGAGTCTTGTTTTATGTTAAATTAAAGTGTCCTCCAGAGGCTGTTCCAGAAATGTGGACAACTTAATTATCTTTCCTACTAAAAAAAAAATCAGTTTTCATCAAATTTTAAGCCAATTTATGGAAAAGGCAATTTCATAAAGAATTGTGATGTGCTTATTAGGGCTGCACAATTAATTGAATTTCTAATCGTGATCACAATTATGGATGCCACAATTGCGTAATCGTTCAAAGCGGTGAAACATGAATCGAAAGCTCCTGGAAGTCTCCCGAACTCTGAGCTTGACTGTATAAATCACTTTCTACGTTTGTTGAATGATAAACAGAAGCTCAGATGTTCTGCTTTCTCCTTTCACAGAAAAAGAAGGCCTGGATCAACGTGGGGGTGAATAAATGATGCCAAAACTGTCATTTTTCAGCGAATTATCATGTCTTTCAACGCAAACGTGTTGAAAACATTCCTGGTTCTCCTCATCGAGCAATGTAAGCACACATCAGTTGTCAGACAAATCATTCTCTCCTTTTGTGTGTCACTGTCACAGCAGCTAGCTCAGTTGATCTTTAAGACAGTTACTATGAATATAACAGCTACTGCGGCGAAGAGAGGCAAGAAGACCAGAAAATCCGGTTTGCAAAAGTGTGGAGTCCCTCCCAATGCATCTTTCACAGGTATGTGTGTGTGTTTTCTCTTTATTGCAGATAAATTAGAACTCGACTCCTTTCATGTTGTGATGGTTTGTCAATGTCTTGGGTGTGAGAAACCAATCCAACTGTACAGATGCAATGACTCACTCATTCAGAGGCATCATGGGCTGGGAAGCACACAGAAGAGCAAGGTGTGCTGGTTTTTGGCAGATGATCAGCTATTGAGAAATCGCATTTCTGGGTGGTGGTGACAAACACTGTGAGGAAAGACATTATTGTTTATGATTTCCAGTGAACAGTTGCAGAGACTATATTCCGCTATTACTTATGAGAAATTGTAGTTGTCTTCCAAGTTGCATTGCAAAAAGTGATTTTCTTATTCAGTATTTTTGTCTTTGTTTTCCAATACGATTAGATAAAAAGTATATCTACTTGTGAAGCAAAACCAGAAGACATTGAGTCTTGTTTTATGTTAAATTAAAGTGTCCTCCAGAGGCTGTTCCAGAAATGTGGACAACTTAATTATCTTTCCTACTAAAAAAAAAATCAGTTTTCATCAAATTTTAAGCCAATTTATGGAAAAGGCAATTTCATAAAGAATTGTGATGTGCTTATTAGGGCTGCACAATTAATTGAATTTCTAATCGTGATCACAATTATGGATGCCACAATTGCGTAATCGTTCAAAGCGGCAATTAATCGTTCAAAGTCCACTTATGTTATTCTGCACGCTTAAGATATGTTTTTTTTCTTTCTACATGTTATCTTAAGGGTTTTTCCATAGTTTTAGTTTTAGTATAACATTATAATACCATTCATATTTTTACTTTTTTTTATAATTTAAAGAAGAAACCAATCCGATGTATATTTGACATTTGAGGCTTAATACTATAGAAAAGCACTGAAGGTTTTTCAGTTTGTTTATTTTCATATAAAAATACGGCATGCAGTTGCATCAAACAATGGTATAAACATCATTTAATGTAAATTGTGATAATCGTAATTAATAATCGGATTACAATTTCAAGGGAATAATCGACAATTATGATTTTTGTCATAATCGTGTAGCCCTAGTGCTTATGCATTTTTGAAAAAAAGAAGAAGCTTATTTTGAAAATATAAATTAAAGATAGTGTAAGAAGCAAACAATATGTTTGAATATAAATATATATTTATTAGAAATATAATTTATTAAGTACTTTAATATATTGGAACAAAAATGGTTTAACCCAAAATATATGCAAAATATTACAGTCAAGCTTCACTATAAACATTATGAATACATAGGGTTAGTGAAATAACCCTAAGTCTAAATCCTTGGCATATTTTTTGCACGGTTGTTAACTAAAACTAAAACCATAAACATTTTTGTTTAAAATAACAAATAAAATAACTGAAATAATTTATTTTAATTTTTACTGTTTAAATTGTTTAAAAAAAGTATATTCCAATTAAATAATTATAAGTGATATAAATTAAAAAATATAAAAAATCTTAAATTTAGTTTATTTCAGCTAGTTACTAATGCAACTAATGTTCTCGTTTACAGTTAGTGTAACTTGATGTTCTAAAATCACTAAAATGAAAACTGAAATAAAAACTATATACAGTAGACACGTATTACAAAAAAACTAATAAAAACAAAATTACTAAAACTAACTAAAATTAAAATGAAGAAATAAATAAATTAAAATACTTTTATTAAATATTTAAAAAAGTAATAAAACTATAATAATATCTCAGTGATACTAAAATAACACTAGCTTGTTAGCTGCATGATTTTGCTTCAGACATGAATGAGACCTCAAATCTCGTGACTTCTATGTGTGCATTTTTCTAAGAAATCAGATTATTATTTTTTTTGTTCTGGTGGATGATAAAGCAGGCGGTAACCGCACTGCAACGCCCTGGCAGCCACCCACAACACCCTAACACTGCGGGGGGGAGTTTTGCCGCTCACGTTTTCATCAGAAAATATGATCTAGTTCTCACATGATTATACTCAGTGTTTAAACCCAGTCAGCGTGTCGCGTATCGTCCTCTATAGCAGCAGAAGTATGCGGCCCGTGAGAGAGTTCAGGCCTGAACGTGTCAAGCTGTGACATGTTTTGCTGAATTTGCACAGTACGCTTAATAAGGCGAGATGTGTAACCCTTTACAGGCAGCATGAGAGAAGCAAAGCCCTTAATTCCTCTTAATCGACCGAAAGGATTTACAGAACCAGAGAATACAAATGTTACCGGATGTTTCCAAAATACGTGGCGTTAGGTGAGATGTTAATCAAGGACAGGCCCTCCCTCTGTCCTCTGAAATGAAAACTGCCACTTCTATGTTTTCCCCCCTTGTTCTTTCTTTCCTTCTCTTTTTCTCATCCCGTCACAGTCTGTTGTATTTATTCATGGTTAGTTGGTAAGTAAAGGCGCACTTCGTAAATCTAAGTGCACTCACTGACCTCTCAATGTTGGCCTTCTGTCAAGACATGCAACAAAACCGGAAGTTATCTAGAGCTATGAACGACATTGACTTTCGATTAGAGCAAGACAAGACATTGAATTAGACACTTCTCTAGAATTGAATTAGACTCATCTGGACAATGTCATTTCTGGAGCTCTGTCGGACGTTAGAACAATGTTCTGCAGCTGTATTTGCAACGCTTCATGTCTCGTTCGCAATGGCGGTGATTAAATTGCTCTGTGTTGCCAAGTCTCTGTATTTTCGGTTGCTAGTAGGCATTCATACAGCTGGTTAGTCTAATATTATTGATGGGATGCCAACTAACCATATCTTTGCAACTTTGCACACTTTTCTGTTTCAGAGGTTGAATTTTATTGAAGCGGATTTCAACTTTTAGTTTTTTTCCTTTTTGATTAGGATCTCAAAACAACATTTCATCATTTAGTTTTGCTATTTGGTGAAATCATACATTTTCCAAAAAAAAAAAAAAAATATTATAATAAATTAATAAAATATTGAAATGAAAATTGATGTTTCACAAAAAGCAATACTATTAAAAATAAATTAAAATTTCAGATTTGAAAGTTTAAAAGTGTGGATCTGGGACAAATAGCAACAACAATATTAATAATAATGATAACAACTTAAAATTGAAGGTGTGGATCTCGAACAAGATTAAAGCTATAATAATAACACCAAAATACATAAAGGGTGTTTGTCTCGGATTCCCAATCAATCTTAATTTATTATTAGTTTAATAATTATTTTTAAAAAATCTTATTTTATTTGTATTATTATCCTACTCCTATTTGGATAATTAATAATAAAATATATAAAATAATGTTATTTAAAAAGTGTTATTAAAGTAATAAATTACTATTTATTTATTTATTTCCAAATACGAGTGAAAACTATTTCAATATTTTCTTGCGTTAAATTGATGATTTCTATACAAATGTTCTATTCACATTTAATCTGTCCCTCCGTTGTGGCGTCACTGTCTCCACAACCAACAATTTTGCCCGCAAGTAATAATTTATGTTAGTGTACTTGTTTACCAAGGAGACGTCGGTACCAGCGAAGAGCTTGAGATGAAATATGAGACATGTGATGCGGGAGGAAATCAGAAGACAAATACAAAAAGTAAATATCCCTGGTGAACAGAATTGCATTATTGTGCATCATTTCCAGTCAAGCTGTCATTTGTCAAATGATGCCATTTAAGTGTAAAAATAGTATTTAACAGGATTTAGGAAAAAAATGCCAGCTATAAAAGTAGGAATAAAATGCTATTTCCACTACAGAATGCATCAAATTAAATAAACTAGTTGCAATGTTTCAAGTGTTTTTTTCCCCAGCTATTTCATTTTTTATGAGGATTCGCTTGATCTTCAAAAATTAACAAATACCTGCTACTTTTATTTCCATTTCAGTCCGCTGTTGTTTATTTTAGACATTCTCCAGT